TATTAATGTAATTGATTATGGAAATAAAGAAAGATTTAATAACTATAAGTTATGAAAATTATGTTATTGATACATTTTAATGTAAACAGTAGGACAATTACAATGTACGCCATACTTTTCTGTACAAATTTGGTGGCTCTTAACGATCTAATACTTTAATATTTTACTTTAATAATTTTCAATGAAATGGCGACCATACAAAGTAGACATCTTAAGCCAAGTATGACTGGAGATGAGTGTAGGATGAGTGGCACGATCTTGTAGTCTTGTTAATGTTAGTGACTAAGACCGACATATTCCTTAGACACAGCTGTTAATTAATAGTCCATACAGCTAATGGCAACTAAGGGACCTACAGTTCATAATACTTGTTGTTTCATAATACTTCATAATACTAATAAGTGTTTGGATTGGACGGTATGGTACATCTTCCTGTTGCGAAGCACGGGTACAGCAGCTAGTATTTTATAAAATCAGCTATTTTTTAGTAGCCTAATTAAAGTTATAAAAATAAAAATAAGCATAATCTTTTGACACAATTCCGACTTTTTAGGCTCCCAAGAGAATCAAATTGGGGGTTTCAAAAGTCTAAAATTGAATGTACATTCTAAATCATAATATACGTAGTGTTCTGTTATTACAAAATTATATTAATATTTGGTGGGTTGATGTTTGATAGCACAGAATTATTTTTTCTACAAAACCCCTATATCTACCTCTTTTTTAATCGGAATAGAATGTCTAATCTACACACACATATTGTTTGGTATCGTGATTGTTTATTATTTTATTTATGTTCTTAGTGTAAATAATATTGTAAGTAAATAGTTAACCAATTCATATCACATGTGTTGTTAAATTCTAACGTACTTCCTGCTATTCATGTCACTTGTCGGCGTTAAACACAGTCATAAACATCGTCCTTCTGCGAAAGGACGGACCCTTCCTCACCAGTTCTTAGAAATCTGTAACCACATACTGAGTGAGGGAGGAGTCTTTTGTCAGGGTATCATCTAGCGACATTGTTCGTTTAGCATAGCTTGGGATAGGACGTGTGAGGCAGATCCCTCCACGTATTTCATTAGTTTAATTCATCAATAGTACATTCGCATTAGTTCATTATAGCAATTTATTCATCACAGTTCAATTATACAGTCCACTAATATCATTTGTTCATTAATACTTCAATAAATTCATAGTTTGTTTTTAAAGTGTTAGTTCTTTTATTATTTACCAAAACATTGGCACATCACGCGCCGCAACATGGTCCATCGAGCCGCGATTATTTATCAGTGATCGCGTGGAACAATCGTACCGTACGCATTATAGTTTCGTCGTCCGAACGTGACGAACCGTCTCCATCGCGACTTCCGTGAACAGTTCGTCTTCAAGTGACTCAGTGACCAGTGACTAGTGACATAGTGTCCGATTGGATTAACACAGCTGCAGCACCGTAAGTCATTATCAACCTCATCACGTTCAGCTTCAAAAAGCATTCATCTCTTTACAAGTCTCTTTGCACACAAAGAATATGACAGAACAGCAGTTAAAAACATTATGCCAAAAGCGAGGACAGACCAAAGCCAAGCTTACTAGATTTAAAAAGTATGTAGATGCAATAGTAGATAATGACGTGTCCCAATTAAAAAGTAGACTAGCCCTATTTCAACCACTTGTACAAGAATTTGAACAGATACAAGGAGACATAGAACTTCTTGATACTGAATCAGATCACGAAGCTGAAAGGGAATCGTTTGAAAACATTTATTTTGAATTGATTGCCCAAGCAGAAGCTCTCCTCACTGACAACCAACCAATTTCAACCCCATCTAGCTCGGTAGTTTCTAATAATTCATCAATTAGTGTCAAGTTGCCTACTATAAAACTCCCTACATTTGGTGGAAAATACGAGGAGTGGACATCGTTCCAAGAAATATTCCATTCTCTCGTCCATGACAACACGTCACTAACAGACACACAAAAGTTTCATTACCTCAAAACATCACTCCACGGTCCAGCTATCAGTGTCATAGAATCCTTAGAAGTTACATCAGTAAACTACACTACTGCTTGGTCCCTACTTAAGGAAAGATTTGAAAACAAAAGAATCCTCATCAACAATCACATAGCTTCTCTACACAACATCAGCAAAATTGAAAGGGAATCTGGATTAGAGTTAAGATCATTAATAGATTCTGTAAACAAGCATTTACGTGCTCTAGAAAACCTAGGTCAACCAGTGCAAAGTTGGGATACTTTGTTGATATTCACATTCACCAAGAAGCTTGATCACCCTACACTTAGACTTTGGGAGAGCCACATTGTATCGTCAGATGTACCAACATTCACAAATTTCATCACATTCCTAAAATCTAGATGTCAAACATTAGAAGCAATCGACTTGAATCATAGCGATCAATCCACTAGTCAATATAGTCATAGCAACAAAATGCTACATCACAATAGACATAACACCATAAGCAATAGTCATAGCAAGCAGTCAAGTGGTAGTCCACATAGTAATAGCAACCAAACGCTACCTCACTTCAGACATCACACTACTCTAGTTACCAGCAGCAGTAGTGTAACATGTCCACATTGCAATGGAAATCACAAGATATTTCAATGTAATGAGTTCAAATCACTGACGCCCACAGACCGGTATTCCAGTATCAAGGAGCTAGGTATGTGCATAAATTGCTTATCACAATCACACAAAATTAAAGACTGTCAAGCTGGAGCCTGCAAAGTGTGTAACAATAAACACAACACAATGTTACATTTTGACTCGGACACTGAAAATCCTCACATTATCGACCAATCTACAGAAGAACAACCAAACAATCATAGTACATCTTTCATGACAACAACACTTGCATCTCACTGTGACAACCTTCAAGTAGTACTGCCCACAGCAGTGGTCGACGTAGAAGATAATCAAGGCAACAAGCACCAATGCAGAGTACTATTAGATTCAGCTTCACAATCTAACTTCATCACAGAAAACATGGCAGATAAGTTAAGATTGCACAAACACAAAACGTCTACCATAGTAAGTGGGATCAGTGAACAACAGGCGAACACTTCTAGCTCTGTTGTCTGCAAACTTCATTCTCAACACACAGCTTACAAGACTTCAATAGACTGCCTAGTTATTCCAAAAATCACCCATCACCTACCACGTGTTGAGATGAACACGGACAACTGGCAGATACCACCATCATTAAACTTAGCAGACTTTCAATTCAACACACCTGGTCCGATCGACATGCTTATCGGGGCCGAACTATTTTTCCATCTCTTGAACATAGGACAAATGAGGCTGCACCAAAATGGACCACTTCTTCAGAAGACATCTCTTGGATGGGTCGCTTCTGGAAAAGTTAAAACAAATCACAGTCCAACAGGACGTTCACAATGTCACCTCACCCTCGTTAGCAAAGAAGATACACCTCATTCTAACAACGGAATCAACCTCGTGAGATCACTGGATCAATCATGGAGATCACAAGCCTCCAACTTCCATCATAATCAGCGGGCGATCATCAGAGAAGACTACCGCCACTTCACAAGCGGGAAACTGCGAGGTCAATCGACGTCCATCCCCAAGTCCACAGCAAGGTCATGGTGGCCACAGTCAAGACAGCAACAGTGTCATCAAAACGGCTACCAGGCACCACCGCACCATCACAATTGATCCTAGTGATATTGTGTCATGTGTCAACCAAAATGGTCAATCAGAGTGAAAGTGAGTGATCAGTGTTGCACTTCATGTTTATAGTGTAGTAATATTTCATGGTAGTCTAGTTGTAGTTGTTTAGTCGTCTTATTTATAATTTCAATTTCATTCGTTGCATATTTATTCATGTATTAACAACACAGCTTAGGTTAGGATTTATATCACGTTATAATGCAAAATATCAATTTTTGCAATTATGTATTCATTGGTCAATATTGGATGATTTGTATTAGTATCAATCAATCGTGTTTAGAATTGGTTAAACAAAGTAGTCATTTTCATTATTTATTTAAATGTGTTTCTTTCGCTCAAGTACTTTGTTCATCGAATTGTTGCATTGTTGTTATAATTGTATTTCATAATCAATGTATGTGTATAGTATTTTAGTAATTTAATTTGAGCCTTTAGTATGAGTTTCATTTTTGTTAATCCTAACTTCAAACTGCTTTAGTTTAACATTTCATAAATCGTATGTTTGTATAGCATTTTACACATTATGTCATATTATTATTGATTCATTAGTAAAAGTCTGTAGTTGATTAGTCTCCACCTTATAGTTAATAGTCAAAGTTTTTATAATTGTATATCATTGCAATTGCCATTTTTATCGAATTGTCTGGACAGTAATTGTAATTATTGTTTATTGCCCTTGTACTGTAATATATAAATTTTATTGCATTTAGGTTATAATCATTCAACATTTAAATAGTTGAAAGCATTCCCACTTTCAAGGGGGGAGAATGTTTGGTATCGTGATTGTTTATTATTTTATTTATGTTCTTAGTGTAAATAATATTGTAAGTAAATAGTTAACCAATTCATATCACATGTGTTGTTAAATTCTAACGTACTTCCTGCTATTCATGTCACTTGTCGGCGTTAAACACAGTCATAAACATCGTCCTTCTGCGAAAGGACGGACCCTTCCTCACCAGTTCTTAGAAATCTGTAACCACATACTGAGTGAGGGAGGAGTCTTTTGTCAGGGTATCATCTAGCGACATTGTTCGTTTAGCATAGCTTGGGATAGGACGTGTGAGGCAGATCCCTCCACGTATTTCATTAGTTTAATTCATCAATAGTACATTCGCATTAGTTCATTATAGCAATTTATTCATCACAGTTCAATTATACAGTCCACTAATATCATTTGTTCATTAATACTTCAATAAATTCATAGTTTGTTTTTAAAGTGTTAGTTCTTTTATTATTTACCAAAACATTGGCACATCACGCGCCGCAACACATATGTTTTATTTACCTGTAGCAGTAGCGTAGAGTTGGGTAAGATGCCAAAGTCAGAGAGGGTGCTGTAGTCACCACTCAGCTCCTTTCCCTCCAAAGTGCGAAGATGTTGGTCAAACGGCGCCACAGCCAGCTGGCTGGTGATCTGGAACAGAACATCACACAAACATGTAGTGGACAACTAGACCGACCAAAGCTCGCTATTTAAATCATATTGCAGTAAATCTAAAATACCCCCGCCGCAGCAAACCTGCAGACTAAGCGAATTTCCATTAACCTGATTGGATTTACACTAAAATGCCTCCATAAAAATAGCACATTTATTTCCTATTTAAATAGAATAAGTTTAACGAGTACTTAGGTTTGCTGCAACAGGGAGGATGAAAAAGATTTTTTTTATAAATTGATAATAGTTTAGTAAGAAATAAAAGTATTTTCCAAAATCGATCAAAATATGTTCATAAACAAGCAAACTACAACAGTTGACTTATTCTCCATAAGAATAACATGGGAATTTCAAAATTACAATTTTTTTGAATTTTCTCCGTAACAAATAGGCGCATAATAACGCTTCAATATACTAAATTATTGGTTTTTTTAAGCTCTACAAAATGGTTTAAATAGAAATTGTGAAATTTCGTGTTTTTAGGGTCAAAAATGGGAAAAACCTATTTTTACACCATAAAACCCCCCATAAACCCCCGTTCCCATAGTCCGATCATGCTGGTTCGCGAACTCGTTCAAGTTTATCCCGCCTTACACCTTCAAACCAAATTTTATCAAAATCGGACAAAAATTACTCAAGTTATCGTGCGGATGGACACACACACACATATATATATATATATATATATATATATATATATATATATATAGATATATAAAAATTTGAACGAATGGTGTTTTTGGCCTCTAGGGACATCAAAATGAAAAAGTAAATCGGTCCCGGGCTTAGGTCTTACCATGAGACCTACGGTAATAGCTACTTCCCTATAGGGAAATTCGCTAAAAAATCATTTAATTGAACATTTCTTGCATTAATCAGTAAATCTTTTCGTAAATGTATTTACAGCGTTGATTTAAAATGAATTAGGATTAGTTTAGAGGATTAAGACGTCGCGTCGTCTTCCTATGACATCTGGGAAATTAATCAAAAATGGTTAAAAATTTGAATGTTGGCAAATTGTGTATTAAAAGTCGGGGTCGATCAAAGCTCAGTCGCAAATGAATATTAGTTCTCAACATTCTTTCACGGCATACAGATAATTCTTTACAAAAATAACCATTTCATTAGACAGTTAGTACAATATTATTCACTATTTCTCCCAATTACACTAAAACAACGACGTTAGTTAAAATAATGTTGATTGTATACTATACAATCAACATTATTTTAACTAACGTCGTTGTTTTAGTGTAAATAAGCAGTAAATAAGCAAAATTGGCAAATTTGACTATGACATATCCATAGACACTACACCAGCAGTTTATTAATTTTCCATAATAATAACATGGGCATTTTAAATAAACAGGTTGTTTTTCTCCGTAACTGTTATGCATACCGTAAAATGACACTTCAGTATACGACATTGTTTCTTGTTTTAAGCTCTACGAAATGGTTTTAAAAAATATTGAGAAATTTCATTTGTTAGAGTAAAAAATGGGAAACCCCAATTTTTAACCCATAAACCCCCGTTCTCAAAGTCCGATCGTGCTGGTTCGCGAACTCGTTCGAATAAACGTATATTTACACGTTTGTATAGAATTTCATCAAAATCATATTGGGTTTGCTCGAGTCATCATGCTAACGCACACATATACGAATAACTAAATATATTATATGTATATGAATTTGAACGTATGGTGTTTTTGGCCTCTGGGGACCACAAAATAAAAAGTAAATCGGCCCCGGGCCCATGAGACCTTCGGTAATAGCTTATTTCTGATTTAGTAAGTTCGCTTAAACATATGAGGACCTCATATGTTTCAGCGAATTTACGAAATCGGAAATATACTATTACCGAAGGTCTCATGGGCCCGGGACCGATTTACTTTTTATTCAAGGTAGGTTCAATTACGTATATACGTAAAAGAATCAAACTCTTCACAGCCAACAAAGAGCTCAACACAGCAAAGAAATCCCTAAGAGCAAAAAGCTTTTCGTAAACAAAAGCGCGATAATCACTTGACTGATACGAGCTATCAGGTCCGGCCAACGTAAACAGCGACTTACCCCAATTAGATCAGAGGGGGGGGGCAGTTACGTCGCCGTTCTTCACTTGACCACACCAGTGGGGGAGGGGGAGGGGGTGCAAAACATCCCCGTGCGTCCACCCCGATAAATCCTAGTCAAATTGTTCAAGACGCAAAAAGCGCGAGTTACAAATGCGGCGTCAGGCGCAGCAAGGAGCAACAATTAAACATAACGCTTCCATCAGTCCGAGACAAAAACCAAGGGTCAGTCTTACCTCCCCCGCGCGGCTGTTTCGGACAAAACTTTGATTAACGGCGAGCTATTAGCAAGTGTATGCTAAATTAGCCGGACGCGAGATAAGTCTCAGCATTAGTCATAAGGACAAAAACCTCCTCTGCCGCTGCCACCTTTGCGACGTTTTGTCGCACAAGGGAGAAAAGTTTTGCTAATGAGGGTCTCCGGCTCCGCCAGATAATGCGTATTCATCTTCGGATTTACTGGAGGTGGACAAAAAATGCTTAGGTCGGCGAAAAGATACGAAAACATTATAACAAATGTAACATGGTAGAACTTTATAAAACTCGACGGAACCAAACAAATGTTAATTGTAATACAGTAATAACACTTATTTCACTTGGTCACGACTAAGTACAATTAATCCTATGGTTAAATTAATTTGTTCCAAATAGAACAATGACCCCGGGTTGTATGGCACAGAAGCAACTAATATATAACTGACACATTTGGGAGACTTGAGAAAAGTAACCTTAAGTAATTTGTTTCAAACAATATCTTCTTATATTTTTAAGTCTGTCTATTGGAATTTAACAAAATTCGGCGACACCCCTTGAGAGGTAGCGGATTTTTACCCCCTGGAATTTTACCCCCTGGACAAACGTGACGTCACGAACCAGGGGGTAAAATTCCGGCCGCGAACTTTGGGTTTCGCGACATCAGCTCGATGGATTAAACGCGGAATTAAACATATATATTCACGGTTGTGAATTTAATCAGAACACATCAAATTATAAAACCTAGAGTGTACCACCCGGATTTTTACCCCCGGATTTTACCCCCGGAATTTTACCCCCTGGCCAGATATATAAATTAGTGAGAATGGTTAATTATCTTAATTCAGTTTTAGTTTAATAGTAAACATTTTATTATTAAGTAGCTAGCCTATATTAATTTATTTTTTGAGATTCTAGTATTAGGATTCGATCTTTGAAGCCAACAGTTGGTTAATATGACGTATAAACAATCAACTGAATGATAATTTTTTCGAACATTTCTTTACAAAAAAAATAAATAAAGATAGCCTACTAAATAATGAAATACATACAATTAATTAAAAACAGAAATAAGAAAATCAATCATTCAATTTCTAAAATCGGCCAGGGGATAAAATTCCGGGGGTAAAAATCCGGCCCGTACATCTTTAGTTGTCTACACGCTAGTTATATGGACAGGGGGTAAAATTCCGGTTTTTATCTCTAATCTAATTAATCACGCTCTGGCTATTTTCATTAGACTTCCTAATCCGCGGGGGTAAAATTCCGGCCGCGAACAAACTTTTGGCCACTCAGGTTACTACGTCATAGTGACGCCAGCTTTGCCCAGGGGGAAAAAATTCCGGCGACCCCCCTTGATTCCTATTGGCAAAGCATACAAACATATATAATTCACCACATATGTAAATTTCAAACCCAAGTGTTATTTTTTATTTGCGCTTAACGACAACCTGTAGGATATTTAAAACCAATACATAAATGCAAAGGAGACTCATATAAGAAATTATAGAAAGAAGGTACATTTAGGAATAGAAATAGCTTTGGGGAATCATAGATAGACAAGAAAATATACATAGCCTAGCACTATGGGGATGAGCTACAGTCATTTTAGGAAAATACAAGCGTAACAATAAAACAGGCATTACAACTTACGGAAGACTCTAGGCAATCATAAAAATATCTGAATGGAAGACCATGGGAAATTATACACATCAAGTATCACAATTTACAGAGTACAATGAATCATAAAAATCAGGATGAAATATTATGGGATATCGTACGAATCAGCCATTTATATAATAGGAAGCGTACAAAATAAGCATTGAAGTTAGCGTGAAAGGCATTAAAATCTTAAGAAAATAACAAATACCACAGACATAATATTTTTACGCAAGACACAGACATAGACGCGTCCAACCCTGACGACCCTCATGTCTTGTCAAAATAATAAAAATGGCGCCGGAAGTGGAACATTGCCGGAAGCGACAGGAAGACATTTAGGCAGAGTGACCGCCGGGGTCGAGGGGGAGGGAAATGATCTCAATTTCGGACACAACTGATACAAAGGGTAACAAATGTGGTCGATTTGTCGTAGTCCGGGAACTCTATTGCACCTCTTCAGTATTATAATCAGCCTTCACGTCCACACCGGCGACTTGCTTATCTCTGTGGGCCGAGACTAATGGAGTGACACTGTTAATTCTACATTCGTATTCAGTACATTTGGTACGACGAGTGATGAGTCCGAAGAAACACAATCAAGGATTGTTTAGGTTATTCAGGAGTAAAATGACGTTGTTTTGAATGTCCCGAGGTACAAGCTATGGCTGGATATCTCGCTTAGGCCAAAGGTGTGGGGTATTTTCAAGTACAAAGTGATAGTATCATACCGTAAGCTTAAGTGAAATACTCAAGGCATTATTTATATATTTCAATCATAAAAACGCTACAAAACTTATTAAATGTTAGACAATATTACATTTACATTCTGTTCAAAAAAGAGAAATCCCTAACATTATAAACACACGTAAACCTAATAATAAATAACAACGATAGGCTAAAGAACTCGCACTGTCGTGGTTAAAGATATATAAATTCCTTTTAATTCAGTTTCAAACCGCATACAGATGGATTACAGAGGCCAAACAGATAGAATCGGCGAGTGAGCGCAGCTCTGTAAAACCCATTACAAAGGTTTGCAGCCCCTTAATCGGCCCTTCTACTTTATTAATTCCTCGCGATCGTGATAATTCCCCTTGTGAGGGAATAAACGGACTTTAGCGGATACTGAACAAGCGGGTAATTAACTTGTGAATGTTTCAAACCTTCTTAGACTCTCTATGTTTGGTGTTATCCTCACATCTGACCACGTCGTCTCCGGAGATTGGGATAGCTTTTAGCTTATCAAAATGGGTAAGTTGTACCGTTCTATGGAGTTAGATATTTACTCGACTGAGATTAACCGATTTATATTAAATTAGAAACACAAATGTGACATAACACTCGTTTGCCGAGGATATCTCTAAAACCAATTCTCTTGGCACTAACAGTTAATCTCACAAACAGAGACCACTAACCAGCCAATTAGTAGCACCTCTGACTTACACCACTAACCAGCCAATCTATATACTGTACCAGAGACATACACCACTAACCAGCCAATCTACATACTGTACCTCAGACAGACACCACTAACCAGCCAATCTACATCCTGTACCTCAGACAGACACCACTAACCAGCCAATCTACAAACTGTACCTCAGACAGACACCACTAACCAGCGAATCTACAAACTGTACCTCAGACAGACACCACTAACCAGCGAATCTACATCCTGTACCTCAGACAGACACCACTAACCAGCCAATCTACAAACTGTACCTCAGACAGACACCACTAACCAGCCAATCTACAAACTGTACCTCAGACAGACACCACTAACCAGCCAATCTACATACTGTACCTCAGACAGACACCACTAACCAGCCAATCTACATACTGTACCTCAGACAGACACCACTAACCAGCCAATCTACATACTGTACCTCAGACAGACACCACTAACCAGCCAATCTACATACTGTACCGCAGACAGACACCACTAACCAGTTAATCTACATACTGTACCTCTAACATATACCACTAACCAGCCAATCTACATACTGTACCTCAGACAGACACCACTAACCAGCCAATCTACATACTGTACCTCAGACAGACACCACTAACCAGCCAATCTACATACTGTACCTCAGACAGACACCACTAACCAGCCAATCTACATACTGTACCTCAGACAGACACCACTAACCAGTTAATCTACATACAGTACCTCAGACAGACACCACTAACCAGCCAATCTACATACTGTACCTCAGACAGACACCACTAACCAGCCAATCTACATACTGTACCTCAGACAGACACCACTAACCAGCCAATCTACATACTGTACCGCAGACAGACACCACTAACCAGTTAATCTACATACTGTACCTCTAACATATACCACTAACCAGCCAATCTACATACAGTACCTCAGACAGACACCACTAACCAGCCAATATACATACTGTACCTCAGACAGACACCACTAACCAGCCAATATACATACAGTACCTCAGACAGACACCACTAACCAGCCAATATACATACTGTACCTCAGACAGACACCACTAACCAGCCAATCTACATACTGTACCTCAGACAGACACCACTAACCAGCCAATATACATACTGTACCTCAGACAGACACCACTAACCAGCCAATATACATACAGTACCTCAGACAGACACCACTAACCAGCCAATATACATACTGTACCTCAGACAGACACCACTAACCAGCCAATATACATACTGTACCTCAGACAGACACCACTAACCAGCCAATATACATACAGTACCTCAGACAGACACCACTAACCAGCCAATATACATACAGTACCTCAGACAGACACCACTAACCAGCCAATATACATACTGTACCTCAGACAGACACCACTAACCAGCCAATATACATACAGTACCTCAGACAGACACCACTAACCAGCCAATATACATACTGTACCTCAGACAGACACCACTAACCAGCCAATATACATACAGTACCTCAGACAGACACCACTAACCAGCCAATATACATACTGTACCTCAGACAGACACCACTAACCAGCCAATATACATACTGTACCTCAGACAGACACCACTAACCAGCCAATATACATACAGTACCTCAGACAGACACCACTAACCAGCCAATATACATACTGTACCTCAGACAGACACCACTAACCAGCCAATATACATACTGTACCTCAGACAGACACCACTAACCAGCCAATATACATACAGTACCTCAGACAGACACCACTAACCAGCCAATATACATACTGTACCTCAGACAGACACCACTAACCAGCCAATATACATACTATACCTCAGACAGACACTACTAACCAGCCAATCAGCACGCCAGGATGGCCGCCAAGTGGCGCTTTTCCCGCGTTTACGACTCTCGCTGCCCCGAGTATGACCGGAAGACGATCGTGTTTCATTTAAAACTATTATCGGGGCGGTGTCCGCGGTGCCTGTGATTACGCATTGTTCGCGGCGGTTTACGACGCTGGCCCGGCCGAGATTGAAATGTGCCTGTTTACGGCGCCCAATGACAACCTAATGGCCAGTGTTTACTCGCAAGTTCAATGTCTTCATCAGCGCTGCCTCCATTGTTCTTATCCTACAGGTAAAGTCAACCAGTCGCGCTTTCCAGTCTGAGCTACATTCAAGGGACTTCGCAATTGTTATGTTTACTCTATCATCACGTATGTATTTATTACTATTGAAGTGTTAACTGTAAACTATTGGTGTTTTAATTCTCAGTACGAAATGTTACATGTATACATAACACTTGGAAAAGCATGAAAATCTGTTATATTATTATCCATTCTTACAGACTATAATAAGATACACGACTGACAAATATGGAAATACGTAAGGTCATCTCACCAAGCAGTAACAAACTAGCAGAACCTAAAATACATTTCTCACAAACCTATAACAGGGATTTTTCAGAACATTCTGTAAGGAAGTTTTTAAATGTCAATTGTTGGAAGTGGGTATACTTTATAGGATAGCAATATTATTCTATTCATTACTCCTAGGTCCTACCTTCTGTTTGAGCTCCCGCAGAGTCAGCGAAGACGACACCGTGAATTGAACATTCTTCTGTCCCGGTATCTTGCGGTTGCGAGAGCTCCTCCGTACGTCTCCGGGTGGCATCGCGGTCTTCATAGCTTTCTGCAACACATGATGACACACACAATCACCACACAGCAGAACAAATCTATCAAATATGTGTCGGGATCGAGATTATTGGGCCATATGTACTGTAGTTACGTGTTTTTCTCAAAAATGTATTAACGATATTGTACGATATTACGAATGTACTTTTTTAACAGCTTCTAACATCAGTACACACATCTCTAGAATCTCAAGATGAAGGCCCCGGACAGTAATGTACCTGAGCTGAAACTCGCCGGGAGTTTCTCATGGAGCCCTTTACTGGCCCCAGGTGGGTTAGTTTGATTCCAAAAACTCGTCTGCTAACTTTTACTCGTCTCTTCACGTAGTCTGGGGTAACACAGAAGACTATTATAATAGCCAATCAAAATACTGCATTTCACTAACACTCTGATTACGTTCCAAACGGTGAATGTGTTTTGCTAGAAACTATTTTAGGTAGGCTTTAAATCCATTGACGAAAGACAATTCAAACGACATAAACGATATTGTAACTATGGTAGTTTTACTTTTGAATAAGAAAACCTAACACAAATAGAGCAAGTCTCTTACCTTTAGTTCTGGAGGAATGGGGGAAGTCGATCCTTCAACTCTTGGCTTTTTCTTTATTGGCTGAAACAAAGAGACATGTAATGGAATAACTAAAATTTAATTGTATAGAATCATTAAAAAAGTAATTTTTTTACTGTGTCCATCTTAATCTCTTCAGTGGAGAATATTCTTTAAGAACTGGTAAACATTTGAGAAAATATTGATTGGAGCCTATACTTACTGCAAAAACGTGTTTGAATACCACTTAGTTTACCAATTCCAAATCAATAAGGGGTGTTTAATTATTGTGTTTTTCTTGGACATTCAAAGCAGATTTCATTGGGCGATTGGTTTATCATAAAAAGTTATTTAACATACTCATTAGCATATTTACTATATGACTGAGCTGAGAAATGCTAGAGATGGGATCCTTTTAGGTAACTATTTGGAGTCATGTGTTATGTGTTTGTTTGTTATTTTAATATTTTTGAAATTATCAATACGAAATACAGCGTGCTATCGTAAACAGCATTCTGTCCTCTGTTGTTATAACCAAAGAGTTGTGCCTTTAAAATGTAGTCGAAAGTATGAGAGAAGTATTTCGATCACACCCCAGTCAACTGCTAACATTAAACAAAAACCGAAACATACTGAAAAGAGTACAATGGGACGAAAAGTTTAGTAGCAGTATTCAAATCAATGCTATAAGCGAGCGAGTGTCATCAAGATACAGTATTGATTGGCGTAATTTTCGAAGTAAATTCGGTAATTTCGTCGCTTACAAAAAAATGCTGCGTTAGTACATGTTATTTTTCACTTCATTTTTTAACGCGAGAAAAATATTACACACGGAGCTTCAGTAGTGATTCACCGCCTCTTTAAAACTTACGTTACATAATTAATTTATAATGATATTTGCTGCCTTTTGTGATAATTTTGATGGAATTCTTAGCAAAGATAAAAACTCATAAACTAAGATATACATAATTGTTCTTAACTTGTTAAGTAAAGGGACAGTTTACATGAAGTCTTCAAATAGCACATTGACTAAACAAAAGTGTCCGTTTGGTAGGAGTTTAAAATACAATTTAAATGCAACTTGCGCTGACGTGGAGTTAATAAACTGCGCAGTCATGAGACTCGTGTAAGTTATTGTTAATATACGTTACACTCAAACAAGCAGAGATCCTGTGGGGAGCGTTTACCGTATATTAAATCAACAGTCGTCGCGTCACATGATTTATTAGAACACCCCGAGACCGCACCGGGGCGGCACCGGGGTAGTGCGAAGTATCGCATTATGCAGTATATATATGTGTATATGTGTATAGTGTATATATATGTATACATATATATATATATATATATATATATATGTATAAGAAAATATTGAACCGTTTCCGGACTCAGGTGCCCATTACAGACAACGAACAGCACATATTACGATATTGGCTATTACAAACATGTTGATATCGGGTTTTTGGGCAATGTGTTTCTTAAAAAAAAACCTTTAATTGTATTGTTTAGTTACTAACAAGACTACAAGATCGCGCGACTCATCCTACACTCATCTCCATTCATACTTGGCTTAAAGTTGTATGGTCGCCATTTCATTGAAAAGTATTAAAGTACTAATAAAAACCTATGCCCTAGTTGAAGATTTATTTATGACTAATTTCCCCCCAGTAATATGGACAAAACGATTTTCCTTCAAAAAGTGGATTTTTATTATTTATTAAAGTAATCTGAAAAGGCTAAAAATCCTAATCCTATAAAACATGTCTGTAATTATAAACCAAATGTGCTATACTTATTTGTATCCTTTATACTAAACCGAAGATTCAGTCGTTTATGAATGTATATTACACTCGTGCGTTATACTGGTTTACACTGCGTTCAGTTTTGAAACAACAGTAATAATATACTTTTAGCGCTACCATTGCTATTGAAAAAATGTAAAAACATTATGATCCACCTGAAATTGTATTTAGCATGTTTCAATTACATTATACCCGAAGTCATAATTTTATGGGGGCAAATCCGTAATACAATGCACATCCCAATATGTGTTTACTGCAATATGGTATTTACATTAAAAATTGACATTCAGATAAATTAAAAGAGGTGAAATAAATCAGTAGCGTGGTTCTCAAACTTAGTAATAGAAATACAATTTAAAATCCCCCTAAAATTACGGAGCATTTCAGAGGGTCCGGCCTTAATTCTTTTTCCATCTAATGATACTGAAACTCTTAAACCTTCCTCAGCACATAGTACGTATGACCCGCTGGTGAATGGAGACGGCGTCGCGTAGAACGGAGGCTGCGAGGCGAGAGGAAGAGAGGAAGCCGGCGTTTAAACCTTCACCGGTAAGTAACTGCATCGGTAGCACATCAGATACAGCGGCGCCGGACAGGTGATCATTTTCGATAATAAATCGATTTTAGGGGCAGACACGCAGTGACAATCGGTTTCACCCGGTTATTTCGTATGTAAAACACCGTTCGATACGAATCGACCGCGGATGCATATTCATTCGGAATGTTTACCGAGACGCGATCCGTCTTCATTACGATATTCCACGGTGTTTATGGCAGCGGCCACTTATAATTGATACGGGGGGGGGGGGGATTCCAGTAGCTGAGCCCCCCGGGTACCGCGCTCGGACAAAGAAACTCGAAATCGATCTCTGCCCTGTTACGCGGACATTTTATTGTTGGGACAAATTATATCGCGTTGTATTCCGTGTTATGTCGTGAGGTTGAACACTGGACGTTTTTACCGTATAGCACGTTAATCACGTGTTATTATACTTTTATTTTCACATAAAAGCGCTAACTATTAGGCGGATAGCGCTCAACTTTCGGTATCAAAATAAATCATTCGTTATGTCTTGTATTAAAAAAAATAGTAGATTATTTTTTCTTGAATTAAAAAGACCTATGTCAATTAGACATAGATTTCTATGTCAATTAGACATAGATTTCAGAATAGTCATATATAAATAATTACGTTTTCTATTTTTTTTTTATTTTAAAATGTATGAAAAATTAAAATAAATTAGTAATGATGTTTTTTTCGTGCCCACTTATAAACTGCAAGTACATACGGTACAACCCCGCTAATCCGTCACCTACGGGACCGAGATCGAGGCCGGGACGTGAAACGGTCGGATTATCCAAAGAGTATTAAGTTCAGGGGTTTACTGCGATCGCGGAAGACGATGGTGTTGTGACCCCAAGAGACAATTAATATTTTTCCGAAATCGCAGAAGACGATGATAATTACGTTAACAAGATTTAAGGGGTTTGTCACTATTGCTACTATGCAATGATAAAGTTTACGTGATCACGGTAGACGATCATGAAGTCCCGTGAGTTCGGGAGATGTTAAATATTTTGCCGCGATCGCAGAAGGCCGATGGTGATTTTTTCCATGACCGTGAGATTTGTCTATGCGTTTTCCGTGATCACTTGTTCACTTACACATTCTATACACTTATGAAAAATGTTAAGCTGCAAGTGCACACTATATATTTAGTTTACACTGCAACAAATCTTCTCTTTTCCAACAAAGAAATCTAGAAAAACTAATGTAATAGTTTGACTTCCACATCGACTGTAAACTTGAGAGAATTATTATAAATGCATAATAAATTGTATTAACTTCTGAATGATTTTAATAGTAGCCTATTTGTAGTTATGAATAATTCTAAGAGGTTTTATACAGCAAATAACCAAAATTACAAGGATCTAAATAGTTTATGTAGGTATTTTGAATCTTTTGACATAGCGCACCTGCGAATGGCAATTTAAAATGTAATTTCCTCATGGGCTTCACTTATTGATAAAATGTATTTTAACTGTATTTAAAAGGCTACTTTTTGACAACTGTAACCTACTTGAGGTAGGTAAATAAATTTTTAAACATTAAATGATCTAAAATAAACAAATTTTGTGTGAATTAGTAGTTTTGTTTACCTAATAACTGTTACAAACTAAAATTATCTTGAAAAGGTAATCGGGTATTGCGCTGGATTCATTTTGCCTCGGAAAAACGTTGGGATTTATCAAACTCCGCAATTTTCTCATGGGTTCACTTATAATTGAATATTACATACAATAGAATATTGAACAACTACAACTCTTCCAATTTACTCACTTCACATAACAAACCCCATAACATCCCATTGCGTTCCCACGGCGATTCGACCCGCCTAAATCGGACTTAATTTCGAATATAATTCTGTGTTAAACTGCCGCCAGGTTCAAGAACGCTTTCTAATAGGAAATTGACATAAAAGCGTCGTAAAGGTGATCAGTCACGGATGCACGAACCCATTAAACACTTGCTCATGAAGCCTGGCACTGGTTGTCTCATCAGTACATTGGACACGCTGTAGTACACTTACCGCTGCCAGCCGTTTTTGTACAGATTGAAAATATGAGGGAAACGTTAAAGCATACTTCAAAAAGAGGATACCCCTGCCATAGCAAACCTGCAGACTAAGCGAATTTCCATTTACCTGGCTGGATTTCTACTAAAATATACCCTGAAAATTTTCAGATTTATTTCCTATTTAAATAACATAAATTTTAATAAGTACCTAGGTTTGCTGCTACAGGGAAGGTGTTGAGTTGTGTTTTTATTGAAACGTTGATGGCTTAGTATGAAATAAACAAAATTACCAAATTTGATTAAAATGTATCCATAAGCAAGCAAGCTACAACAGTTTTTTATTCTCCATAAGAATGACATGAGAATTTTAAATTTAAAGTTTTTTTTAACTATCACCGTAACCGTTAGGCATGCAACAACGCTTCAATATACAAAATTATTTCTTTTTTTAAGAAATAAATTATGAATGGTTCGCAAACTCGTTCGAATAAAGGTAGGTTTACACGTTTGGACCAAATTTAATCAAAACCGGATAATTAATGCTCAAGTTATCGCGCTAACAAACAAACAAAAAATTATACAATTATACAAACAATTATTATATTATAATAAATACGAATTTGAACGGATGGTGTTTTTGGCCTCTAGGGACCTCAAAACGAAAAATAAATCGATCCCGGGTC